AGAATATTTGGAAAATGGTATTGGCTTTATTGAGTTTCAGCCATTTTCGCAAAAAAATATTTACATTTAAAAAAATTTTAAATAATCTTTTTGACTTAGATAAATGTCTTACCATAAAATTTTTTCCAAATATGTTAAGATATTTACAAATTAATTATTTTAAATRTGATTACATTTTCATTGTTAAAAAATAAACAATAATATTKTATACTATTCTTATAGCGCAACTTTGTAATTGTCTATAAATTATATTAGCGCTTATAAATATATATATTTTATATTATTAGAACAWAAGTTATTTTCTTTACCAGAGTATACCGTTACACGCCTAGTACGTTAAAACGCATTACGCGCATCATTCTGCAGTTAGGAATTCCGTAGTTAAATATTATCATCTAATATATCGTTGTGTATTGCACAATATTATGTAGAAAACACGTAAGCACTACCTATATAGCTCGTTAGGGTTCAATAAATAATAATTTTCGAAAAATCGTCTGAGTGATCTTGGACTAAAAATCGTTACATTGTACCGCGGACTTACCTACGCCATTTTCTATATGCATACTRTAGCACCGATCGCCCAATTTATATATGACATGGTAGATTTTTCAGATGGAGGGCCCACCATGAGATACTRCCGTGTACTGCGTACAGAATATTATACGTTTAAATATAAAAATATACGGTCAAACGTTACATTACTTATTTGTAGACGCTTTGATTTACATCTGTTCGTTAAATTATGAAAACAGGAGGGATGATGAGGGCTCCTTGAAATACGATGTCATAGTACCTATATTTTAAACGATTTGGCGCCACTGTATGCATATATTATAATCGTCGTACCTATACACATTGTATTTATAATTCATATTATACTGTCATTGACAATATTATTGTATTTATGCGCAAGCAATATTGCCGCGGAATAATAATAATCTGTACGATTGTTACATCAACCGTTATCTCTTCACGTTAATTTATCTATATGTATATGTATAAATTAATAATAATCATAATTCACGTAATCGGACTATAATTAATATTATAATATCGTTTATGATTATGAATGTGTGTACAGCGTCTACCACAGCAGACGCACGTTATCAATATAATAATGTTTTATTGGAACCGCGGGCAATGCGTTATTATATATATATATACGCCAAATAAATTAAATATAATGTTATGATTACTATCATATCTATCTTTCTCAATATTGCGATGCTTCGTTTGGTTTTTCGGCCGATCTTAACGTCAGATTGTCAGAAACGGTAATTTACGGGCRAATCACTCAATACAACAATATAATATAATATATACATATGCTGCAGGTAACAGGTATCCGAAAGGTATCGGTTTTTTAGGCAGTTATCGAGTGTTATAAATATATATTGTAATTATTAAATTACAATAAAATATATTACAACTATTATATTATYACCAAGGTTTATGTTTTTCAACCRATCATGCGTTCGTCTCGATTAATTTATAAATATTATAATGTGTGTAATACGTCATATATTAAGTACATAATATAATACGTTTCATTTTTGCGGTTTTTGCACACATTCTTATACTACCTCCTTCCTTATTTTATTTTTATTTTTTCTTAATTCTTATTGCATATTATTCTAGGTCATAAACATCCGGATTCGAATCATAACTATACAATATAATATTATTTCCCAAGACTAAACGATCTGACAAAAAAAGTAATGCTCTTGAATAATGTTTCCTGTGTAATGTCTCGGTGTATAACAATTGTTGAGAAATAGACCGTTTTAATACACAGTAAATTATATTCATATTAAATGTTGTTATTATTAGTAGTAGTATAATATCATTCTATTATCGGGAGACTATTATCTATCTATAATGACTATTATCACTACAATATTATATATTGCAATATTAATACRCAATTATCATTTCAATGAAAAAATTATTGTTATCACTGCTTGATAATTATAATTTTTTTTCGTGATAATTTTTTCCAATCAAACGTATTTTTACTCCGATTTTTATTATTGAAACGGAAATCGCAAAATTGTAACTGTCGTTTTCATGGAACACCGCAATGTATACATACGGCATACGATATCTTATATATTATTTATATCATCATATTAATATTGTATTGTATTGTCGAAAAAAAACAAAATATCATCATCAAGTACCTTGTTTTAAGTACCCATCAATAGAGAATATAATAAACCATGCGAATCATTAATAATCGTTTCACCAACGATTAATATGCGCTAGAATTATTTGATCCAATAAATAGCGCTTTTATATAAACACACTATATACAGCCAACTAGTGTATCTATATAGTGCTCCACTTGAAAAAAGCGTGTTTGCACTGCGACGAATTATGAACAAAACCCACTATATAGGTACTGTATTTGAATTGTCGGTTTTCTTTTCGAACGGAACAATTGACAATGAAGTGTCTATTATTATAGGGCGTGGGGGCAATCATTGTACATAATAACATACAATATGAGAATTAAAAGAATTATTTTTTAACTAGGTATAAGTATAGGTAAATTAAAGCAATGCAGCTTAATATCAATGAATTTCTGTTTCTCAGTCAAAAACTTTTAACATTTAATACAACGTATACTTCATATAATTTTGTTTGAGTAGGTAGTTACATAATACCACAATAACGATGTTACAATTAATGTTTCTTTCATAAGTTTTTCCGTGGTTTTTCTCGAAACAACTTAAATTATTTTGCTGTAGTTTAAGAAAGAAAATACCTATAGAAACTTTAAATTGTTTTTTTTTTTTAAGAGATTTATTTTTTATTTTTTATGCACAATGGAATTTTAGTTTCGTGTTTTTTGTTTATACAATTAATTGGCTGGAACCCCAACGGTTTGTTGATAAACGGTCATCTGCTATTGTATTAGGTATAATTATTTATTTTTTAAATCCTAATTGCATATATATATATATACACACAGTGAGCTCTCAATAAAATAAACAACAACGGTTTATTATAATTTTACTTATTAACGCGTTGTTTTCGTACATTTAAACATTCTATAAAGGTACTTTTAGTAATTGGTTATGTAAACACGATGATTATTATTATCGTTGCATCGAGTTACGTCGTACAACAAAAAATATTTACCGTTGCTCAGAAGGTACAGTACAGTCGTTTAGATGAATAGACCGATCAAAAACYTCAAACAATCGAAGGATAATAAAATACTAGGAAATATTTARGACCGGCAAAAAGTTCAAGAGATAGACTATTTCGAGTTAATAATATTTGAATTAACCAATGTCATCGGTGTTTTTAATTAATAAGAGATCAAAAACTCACTTCAAGTATGGCTTGAAAAAATAATTTTGAATGTTACAACGGTACAACTATACACAGTTATAAGTTATAAACTTACAAATTAGATACGATTSTCGTTGGCCATCAAACAACTATAATTGATAACATAAATGTTATTATGGAACACAGGTGTAGTATAAAAATATTTGCCATGCGAAGTGCTGCAGCTATACCTTCTGTACAATCACAACGTTACTTGTACCGCAGTCAATGCTGTTATAGCGCTATAACCATAACTATTGTAACTACTAAAGACACTGCGTATAAGTACTCGTATATACGTCATAACGATGATGTTCGTCGTTAATCGATCGCGACGCGTCATAAACATTATACTGTAATAATATTATATCGATATAACAATACCAATACAATATAATAATTGTCAACATATATGAATATATATAGGCATCCGTGCGCATGCACTCGTGTATAATTATATTATATTATACTTAAAATGAATATATCGGGTGATCCATGATTTAGTAAGACACATCACTCATTGTTTAAAAAAAAGTTTTTTAAATATTTTTTTACATGATTACAGCAACGATTTTTTCTAAATAAGGATATATTTTTTTCTATTTTCTATTGTTTTCATATTTTAATATTTATGCTTTTTTAATTCCTTATTCTACAGCAGAATATTTTTTCGAGTACCTATACTTTGTTGGTAAAATTTTGAAATTTCGGACGAGTAATGAGTTAATGAGTTAGGTATGTCAATGAATTTAAATTTTAGATAAGTGAATTGGTGGAATCTGACAAGTGTACACAGCAAAATTTTTATCCACTGCGATATATGTATATATGTTTGGATTTTTATAGATCTAAATTCTCCGAATGATGTATAGCTTCGGAATAATGTGATAATGTGAAATAAAAAATGTATGTTTTGATTCAAAAGGGTAAAAACTTACAAAAAATAGTAAGAAATATAAATGTTTTCTAAAACGTTAGCGTATTTTGCAATTATAATGAGTGACGTCATACATTAAATTTGATCACCCCGTATAATAAATATATTATATTATTATATAATAATTTCCGTCTAACAAAATGTATACAACATAGCGAAAATTATTTTGGGCGGGATAGAACCATTAAGGCTGTAGCCGTATTTAAGACTCCAAATCGATATAAATTATAGTTGGGAACATTATCTGTGAAATATCGTTTTTATTTTTTTTAAATCATTTATACGAAAAAAGTTCATATTCTTTCAAAATTCATTATTTTTTTGGTTTTCAAACTTGAATAACTTTTTTTCCTAGTTCCGAGATCGAAAAAATAAAAACAATATTTCACAGGTGAAATTCTCCTTTTTATGTAGAGGAAATTTTTGTTGTGTCTGTAGCCTTATCGGCTCTTTCCCGCGCGAAACATTTTTTGGTATGTTTTAGATTTGGAAGACGAAGACAATACAAGTGGGTTAGCGCTCTCTTAAGTTTCGCATAAAAAATATGATATTATTACGTATGTATGTGCTTGTGTGTACGCGAATGCGCGCGCGCGTAATAAATAAAATAATAATTAACGTAAACGTCCCGGCGGTCGTCCGTCAGATGGCACTGACCAATGAGCGACGGCGGCGGCGGCAGCGACGACGACGGCGGCGCGCGACCTCTCGCAGTGTGCTATTCGTAATCGGGGCGTAAGAGTGCACCGGTGCTCGAACGACTTACCCCACGTGCGCGCGTATATCATGCGATGTGCCCCGCCGCCAGTCGTCACATTACCGTTAACGCGTGCGAGTCGAGTGTGAAACCGATTGGTGTTTAGAAAAATATTTCGTTTGTTCGTTGAAAGACATTAGTTTTTCTCGCTAATTAAACAATATATTAAACGATCGCGTATTAAGATAATTTTTTTTTTTTATCGTTTGTGTTTTCAATGAAAAATCCCTGATCGGTTCAGACGATTGTTAAATATTTTTCGTCGTTTGCACTTCGTGTTGAAAATAATCATCCGTATAAAATAATACATTATCAATCTGGGACGTGTGCGACCACGATGGACACTACCTAACAGAATGTTTCGTCCGCAACAGCATAACGACAACAAGAACGATTATAATAATAAATCTACCCATCATAATATTATGTGTCGTGTGACTCTCGTGCGGTTTTCAAGTTGAATTATTCGTTACGTTTTTTTTTTTTTCGTTATTTTCTAAACCGTCGCTACGTACAAAGTGCCGACGACCACTTCGCGCCATCCCAAAAATACCCAAAGAACCATCTACCCCCCTTACATCTACACTGCTGCGATGACGGACCCGTATGACGACCGACGCAATCTGTACCAAGAAGTGGGCCGGTGGTGGTGATACGCACGACATGTCGAATGGTGGAGACGGCGCAGCAGGTGCAGTTTGCGCGTGTAGCCGTCGCCGTAGCCGTCGTCGGACAGCGTCGTCCTCGTCTCCGTCGCCGTCCGTGCTGGCCGTGTGGACGACGGCGTTCGTGCTGGCCGTGGTCGTAGGCGGCGGCGGGGTCGAAGCGCTGCACTCGGCCGCTGCCGTATCGATGGGTGGCGGTGGCAGTGCGGCTGCGGCAGCTGCGGCAGTGGCAGCGGGCCGGATGGCGCCGTGCGCCCACCTGGGCGACGAGACCAACGACGTGTCTGCTCGGGCGTACGCGTCCGACGTGGTATTTGAGGGCAAGGTCCGGTCTAAGGGCCCGGTACGGCCCGGGGACGGTACGTACGGCGTCACGTTTGTGGTACAGCGCGTGCACAAAGACTCCATGCAAGCGGTTACGTACGAGGGACTGCGAGTCGGCAGCCCGGTGCGGCTCAACTTTCGTGAGAAGCGCGGCGACCGCAATCTACCGCAGCGGAGGCCACCGCTTCAGCGCCGGGTGGACGCACAGTGCGTGCAGCGGTTCGCGCCGGCCGCCGGTGGTCAGACCGTCGAGGCTAACATCAAACGCGGCGCCAAGTACTTGGTGTTCGTGGCCGGTGTCGGGCCGCACAACCTGTCCGTGCTCGGGGAACCCGTGCTCAGGACGCCCAAGAACGTGGACGCCGTGCAAAAGGTGCTTTGCAGGGACTGCGGTGAGTACTATTCATCACCTTTATACGTTTATAATTATTACTTATAGTTTCTATTTCGCGATATATAATATATATGCAATACACTGCAGTGGTGTATTTTAGGTTTTTCAAACTTATATAGACGTTAGTCCCGAATCACTACCCATGTCACCCTCACACTAGTCTCATTCCTAATGAATACATATAATCAACATATAAAATGAAAATAAAAACATAAATTATATAGAGTATCCGTCAAAATAACATCTCGTTATGTTCAATTAAGTGATATTTTAGTTCGAACCTAATCTTCACGAGCACATTGTGCTATACATCTAAAATCTTTGCTTAGATATTTGAATGAATTATTTGGCCGAAATTCGTCACTCCCAAAATTCCGCTGTTCTATAGGCCTTGTAGGCCCGTGTCTATAAATACGCCCATATTAGACTATATTGGGTTCCACCGACATTTTTAAATTTCTACTAAATATGCCACACGCGCAGATGCTCCGGTATTGGAAGTCTTTATATACGACCAAAGTTTTAGGACTAGGGTCCACATCGTAATGGCTCAGCGCCGGCGTGATTGTCATGCAAGAGTAATGTCACCGATCTTGGACTTACTGTTTTTAGTGACACTATTATATTATCATATCATGAGAAATATTTTTATATAAAAACGTGGTATACCTTTTTTCAACTGAATGAATTCTGATGATTCAACTGAATAGTCCTATATAGAATTAAAAGGATTTCGGAGCGCGCTGTATGAAAAATTTGCGTTCAAACCGTAGTTAGCTTAAATATAAGAATATGAATTGAACTATATTATTATCTAATTTAAAACATTTGTATTTTTACAATATTTCAGTTATTTAAAATAAAATGATTAATTAATGCTTACGTACAAACACACGCATAATATTTAATTAACTTAAAGTTTAATAATAGGGAAATTTTCACTCTTATTACAATAAAGTTAACATCATAAAGCTATTTCTGCTTTATTCATACATATTCTATACATATTGTGCGTGATAGGAGATAAATAGTTCACTGAAAATCGTTTTAAGGATTGAGTCAGTAGTGGTGTTTTTTTAGTAGTCTCGGGACTTTTATTATAATTTGCACAGAGGCAATTGYAATAGTTGATATTTAGTTAAAACACTATAGTGGTAGGTACTTAAAACTAAAATTATAATAGTGATAGTGATTAATGATTATACTATATCAATCATCCCACCATTATTTTGCTATTTTTCACATTGTCTTTGGCTTAACCAATTTCTCTGTGTTCAATTTCCGGTCTAATAATCCGTAATTTAAAACCTTCAAATATAGCAAAATCGATACGTTTGCACGCCCACCACTATTGGTCGAAATCTCTCTGTGAGTAACCACTTACCTCTACATCGACGGCCGCAACTTACAATAATATCATGTTATATAAAATATATACTTGAGTGGCATACACTAAACTCGAAAATTGTGTTTGCGAATTGAAAAAAAAAACGCGTACCAATACATCAATTAGGTGTAATTTATTAATATTCTATACACGTAAATGAATATAATATTATAATCCACCGTTTTTACCGCCGCGTGGAACGCCGTACGTATATACGTTCCCGCGTGGAACGCGTCCAAATCGTCTATTTTCGGACGGCTGCACGGCGGCGACGATGACTCCGGTCGCCTTGTCTCGCTCGCTTTATCTCAATCGCTGTCTCGCTTTATCTTTATCGCTCTTTCACTCTACCTATCACATCATCTCTGTCTCTCCATCTGTGTGTCTCTATCTGTCTCCTTCGTCTGTCTCTGCGATAAATATGAGTCAGTAGGTTTTCCGACTACGAAATCGCTCATGAGTGCCCACTTTACGCACGCGTGATGTACGCTTAGTACACACGGCCAGAGATCTTTGCAATATATTATTATGATACTAAAAAATATGGTTCTTCGGTAGTCGTACGGTTTTTTTTTTGTTTTTTTAATTTCGTTTCTATTCCATGGGTTTCTAGCAATCTCGCAATTTCCGCGTTGAAACAATATATAGAGTATTTGATGGTTTTTTTACCGTTCGATCAGATCACGTCCTCGTCGCGGTCGTCGTCTGGTAGAATAATTCGGATTCGAATTTTGAGAACCGCGTGAGAGAGAGTTTAAACGCTACGATTCGCACGATTTATATCGATGCAAAATATAAAACGACGAAATATTGTGCAGGGTGTATATTAAAACAATAATTTAATATCAATAATTTTGAAGGTTGGGACTCTGCGACTCAGGTTTTCGCGTCATCTCGAATGCACCGCGGTGCGCCGGAGGAACTAGGAATCGTTAACGACTATTTTTGGACGTTTCCGCGGCGGCGGCGACGGCTGCGACACGATATTATGTTACGCGGGGCGGCCAATGACCAAAAACATCGTATATTTTCACTCATGTGATACGGGTGAAATGCGATATCTTTGTGCGACACAGTTGAAAAAAAAAATTAAATTCACTTTTAATTTTTCTGATTCTTTTGTCGTTTATCCAGTGACTTACGCGTTACAATGGACTATGCACGTATATGAAAATTAATGTTATATTATATTATACACGCGACAAATAATATTCTATTATAAGTACTATTATCTATATTAAATAAGTGTGTGGTTTTTAAATCGACTACGTCTCACACTTTAATTTTGGACTGCAGAGGCACAGCCACACTCACGGCCGCTACTGGATGATGTAATTTATTGTAAACATTATACCATATTTTGACGTGCACAACCGACGTGAAAGTTAACTAGTCTGTCGGTAATTTGCACACGTGTTATTGCTGCTGACCACTAAAATATGAAATATTTTTATTATAACAAATTGTTACATATATAAATATTGCTGTTATCTTCTAAACTAAAAATAAGATACATTTAGAATTATGCACTCAAGTAATAATTTTTCTTGCTGGGTCCTCTTCTGCTTATGCTCATAAATRTAAATCATCGAATGTAAAAAATAATTGTATAATAAAATTGACACTATCAGGAAACGTGATTCTAATTTCTAGTCCTCAAAAGGGTAACCACTGTGCGTCTTAGGTTTGATTTACATAATAATAACGAAATGAATAAAAATAAATAAAGTTTTCTTAGAAGAATACAATATTTTTTTATACACCTTTTTCGTTTATTAACTTAATTAAAACATTATGGTTGTACAACATTAACATCAGTAATATTATGATTTAAAACTTTACGAATTATAAAAATGAGTAGATAACAAAACTTAACATGGTGTTTATGCAATATTCGATACAAAATCTTATAAGTATAATATACATGTACACGTTACTAAAAAGTTCTTTTCTGAGCGATTCTAGCTCCATTTGCACCCTTTATATCTATCATCGATTTCCGTTTTTAATACACAATCTTATCAAGGATTCCAGAATAACGCATGTTTATGTTTAAAAAAATGAACTCTTCAAATTCTGATTTTCGATATTTTTAACTTTTTAAATACCGATATTACGGTGTTATAATATGATTAACATCTAATGACCATGTTTAATATATATATGTTTTTATGTACACGGCATTTGAAGACTTGGAGGGTACTGATCACGCGACTATTTTACTAATATTTTATTTGGATTTTACAAACCTAGTATAATAAATATATTATGTTAAAACATCTAAATAAATATTGCATTAAGTATTATTGGTGTTATAATAAATTCTAAATTACAGCCGTGGAGACGTCCTTGTACGAGAACCATGCGAATAATACACACACAACATATTCTAACATAATATTATTAGGTATTATATAGAAAACTGACATACGTAATACCCTGACGCGCCGTTGTATATTATAGGTCCATAATCCTTGGAAAACAGGTGACGCGTTTCGTTTGAACGAAATTGACGAGTATCGCAATAATAATACATAATTTACTAAACAATATTCGCGTTTCACCGGTGCCGTTGTACACACTCGTGAACGTCTGTGGGAAAAAAGATTTGAGAATCGTTCAATCGTCGAGATCAGTCGCGAAGAAAAGGTCGACGGTCACCGTATGTCCGTATAAAAGATTTTTGATGCTAATAATGAGTAAGAGCGCAGATTTTGTGATAAACTATATTATTCTCAATAAAGTGACACATAATATTTGACTTTGAGTTTTATCGCGAGTTATCAATCTAGTTGATTATCTACATAACTTCAGATGTGACACTATAGTCTATTATTATGTGTATATATGTATATATACAGTATTAGAAAAACGTGCAGCCGTTGCTGCAGCTTGTTATCTTTTTCCGTAGCGTTGTTAGATTCCGAAAAAAAAAGTTTTCTTGTCATCAATCACGAATGCCTAATATAGATAATATGAAAATCTGCAGTATCTACTATGAAATCCCAACCGAACTTAATTTGTTTGATTCATAATTTCCTAACGTCTGATGAAGCTCAATGCCTGTTTTTCGAGGGTTAAAAATATAAAAAGTTAAGGTAAGACTCACATCATATAATTATCATCTATCTTATTTACAGTAATCGGTTGAAAAATTTCAGGAAAAAATAAATGATTTGAAAAAATTTATACATAAAGACCAGACACATATTTTTTGAGGAGACAAAAAGTCCATGATAAAAAATATGGTTTTAAAATAATGTGGAAATCGGACACTGCAAATTTTCTATGTTAGCTTAAGTTTATCTATCACTAGCTTTATTGATTCACATAAAACATTTTTTTTTTTAACTTTTATCATAGTATTTGTAAGGAAATTATACAATAAGATTTATATAGATTTTTATATTTATTCGTCTTCATGGGTGCATGTAAAAATTGTACRTTCATCAAATATCCATGAAAAGAGATGTGCACATGAAAGATAATTTAAATCCCATGTTAAGTGTATATGACATACACGAGTATAATATGAAAATATCATATTGTCTGCTAGTCATCTGCAGCACTATAGTCACGTATACTCGTCTAGAATTAAATCATTATTTGCA